AAAGTTTGAACATTAAAACCTGGGACACCCTGTATATTTCTCCGCTATGTGATTCTTTTATGTACCTTAATACAAAACCTCTGTCGCGTTTATATAATTTTGGACCTATACGACAATTTAATAAAGCGCAACGTTAACAAAATAAGACGAATCTCTCAATTCGTGCAATTAAAATCGCATTCCACGGTACACCCAATTACTGCAGACCATTTAGGTGCACTGTTTCGTGGATTTTTTGTACACAAGGTATCAGAGTTTTTGCTTCTCGAACTGGTAAAATTCGTGGTCTTCCACTACGTTCGTTGTTTAAAAATAGAATCACTCGCATTTATCCGTTTAATGATTTATTGTTCGCTAGATTTATTTCTACCGTTCTTACACCTTGTTTTGTCCGTACGTTCGGTTAGTCGCCTAACGTACATGCGCGACCGAACTATTGTACGCTCGATTCGCGCTTCCTACGGCAAATTAATGACGTGGAAGGGTCTCTAGTAGTCTTAGAGAACTTTATTTTTTGTGTTGTACTCTGTGCGAGCGCTGGTGGAAGAATGCTCTTCCAACGCTGGAAAGTCGTGGAAGAGCACCCGTGGATGGAGGTATATTGTTTATTATTGGTCAAGGCACGAATCACCTCTTGGAGGGGGGTGTCTGCCTTGACCCTTGTTGGGGCCTGAGAGGGTTTCCCCAATGGTGGGACCTTTTTATGGCCCTTGTCTCTGGACGCAACACACCTTTTTCGCGAGTAGTACATTAAAACCTGGGACACCCTGTATAATTATAATGTCGATACACTGTAAAAATCGCCGAGATCCTTTATTCCATGAACAACGATTGTGCCTTGTAATACCTAATTTCCAAGCGAACGGCCGACATTTTCCGAATCATCGTTTCGTACGATCGCGCTCGGTCCTTCAGCAGTATGAAGAAAAATATTTGATCAGCTCCCATCCTGGCGCCGACTTTCATGGCCGGCATCCAAGCCACCGTGTCGAACACGGCTAAGACGTTTTCCATGATTGCTCAAAAGCCTCGGAGGGCAAATAGGTGGCGCGCCCAACCCCATCGGTTCGGGGGTTTATTAGGGACAAAACGAATCACGCCGGCGGGAGAGCCGACACCGAGTCCCGGGCCCGAGAAAAATCGCGTCCCACTCGGCCGAAGCGAAGGGAAACAAGATCGTCGTCATTTACCAAATTGGCAGCGTCGGAGTTAAAGCATTAGCTCCGCCGGTAACGAGGCGGCATTCAACGCTTCGGTTTCCGACCGCGAGCTCTTGGCTTGTTACGAATCGAGCGAAACGCGTCGCTGACAATTTCGGGAATCCCTAGAACCTCTCCGCAGGACCATTGTCGTTCGCACCGTCCATTGGGATCGTAGTTTTTTTTTTACACAAAGACGCAATATTTCGTAAGATAGATAAGAGATCGCGTTGTAGATCTTTATTAGATCATATTATTAATTGTAATTAGGTAATAAATTGTAATAAAGTGAAATGATTAAAATCACTGCCGGATTGCGAAGTATGACAACAAATATTAATATAAAATGTAAGGAATGTTTTTGATGGCGAATAACAGTTTTCCTGTATTCTCAAACTTACTANATCCTGCTGATATTATTATATTATATATTATATAAAATATATAATTTTATAAAAATAATAATATATAATAATATAAACACTTTATATACATATACACTATTGATACCTTTTACACTATTGATAGTATCCTGCTGATATTATTATATTATATATTATATAAAATATATATATAATTTTATAGAAATAATAATATATAATAATATAATAATAATATACAATAATATAATAATATAAACACTTTATAGACATATACACTATTGATACCTTTTACACTATTAATAGTATCCTGCTGATATTATTATATTATATATTATATAAAATATATAATTTTATAAAAATAATAATATATAATAATATAAACACTTTATATACATATACACTATTGATACCTTTTACACTATTAATAGTATCCTGCTGATATTACTATATTACATATTATATAAAATATAAAGTGTTTAGCATTTAGGTTGATACTATTAACACGCGTTCTATTACTCATTTTGGAGAATGGTTCTAGCGAGTAAGGCTCGAATAATGGATTAGCAATTTTCATTGATTTCTACAATAAATAACGAATCATGCTCCGACAACAGAGAATTCGGATATCAGTATTACAGAATGGAGGGAGTTTTGCTCTGGAAATCGTGTGGAGTTATAAATTAGCCTGTATTTAAATTTGAATCGTGTGTTTAAATATAAATCAGCACGTGTTCTATTATTATTATTTGAACAACGGTTCTAGCGAGCAAGGTTTGAATAATAGATCTAGCAATGATAATAATAGTAATTTTTTCGACGGATGATTCGTGGAGGAAAGATCGAGGATGAGGCATGGGAAGGTGAACCGGCTTCAAATAAATGCAGTCGGTTAGAGGATTTTAAATGAGACCCTGGGCAATGTAAACTTCAACAACGAAGGTAATTCGAAAGTTTTAAACGATGGATTCCACCGGCTGATTGAATTCCAGGGAAAATTCTACGACCCCCGCTGTTTGTTCACCTTTTATTTAGGTTCCGTATGTTGATGTTGCAATTTCGTTTAAATCGCGCGGACGGCGGCGAGTCCTTTAAATCAACTAAGATTGAGAAGCAGGAATAAAAGCGGCGTCCTAACGATGTCATCGGTGCCCGTTGTCATTTAATACAGTAAAAATATAGAAGCACCGGACTGTGAAATGTTTGAGAGAATTTTCTCGAGGTTGAGCGCGATGGAAAGATTCGATTATTTTGCTTCGTAATATCAAAAGTGTCAAAGTGCATTCGTCTCGCTTCATTATTAATTACGTTCGTTTCGAATGTGTAATGAACATACAGGTTTAGCTAATAAATTATTTTAGCTGGACAATAGAAATTTATGGCCACGAAGTAGTATGCTCGTATATATAATATAGTAGAATTTCGATAATCCAATTATCTGGGAACGACGTAGCATCAAATGTGTCGTGCCACTGGATTATGTTTCTAAAGCCGAGAAAATAACCGGAAATAAAAACCCGAGAAAATAATTCAAACAACATCCACGATTAAAATACAGCAATGCGATGTTCCATAATATTCGATATATTATGTTCAAACCAGCCGCCGTTCCACTGCATCGCGTCATCAATTACCGCTTAATAATTAAATTATATTTTATATATTTTACAGTGTCACTCGCAAGCAGACCGCTTTAGGCAATTTAACGTTAATTTATATCCACGCCGTGAAAATATTACCGGCAAATTTAAAATGTCAAGTCGAACGTATTAAACGTTCTATCAAAAATCCATTACTGATGTTTTAAAACATCAAAATTTATTTAACAAGTTATACCGACACCAAAATATTATCCTCTGCGAAAGTAATCTCGATAATATTGACATTCTAGTAAACAACAACAATGTAAATGTAGATCAAAAGAACATTGAAATTCCATTTAAGGATCCTCAGAAACTTTTAATGAAAAATAGTTGGCATAAATGGTACCAAAAATGGGTACATTCGAATTACTCACTCCTACGTGAACTCAGAGAAAATATCCAGGGTGTCCCAAAAGATACTCAAAATCGGGAAATGAGTGGTTCCTGAGGTCGTTTGAAGTTACTTTCTCCTTAGCGTAAATGCAATCCGCAGCTTTGTTTACGTGTTATTAACGAAAAACATTGACCAATGAGAGGCGAGTTCGTCTGGCGCAAGGCAGCCAAACCAACGACCGGACGAAGCCAGTTCCGCTCATTGGCTCGGTCGCCCCATACTAGCTGATCTCGCTTTTCATTGGTCACCATTTTTCGTTAATAACTCGAAAACAAAGCTGCGGATTCCATTTGCGCTAAGAAGAAAATTCGAATTTCATCAGGAATCCCTCATTTCACGATTTTGAGTAACTTTCGAAACACTGTATTCTCTACAAACCGCGCTGTATATGTAACAATAAGGAAACAAATTATACTAACTCAGCCAAGAATAGGGCACACTAAAATAACCCACCAGTACATACTCTCAGAAACTGAAAAACCACTATGTAAAAGTTGTAACATTGGGCTTACAGTTAAACACTATCTAATAAAGCGTCCATTGTATAACAATATTAGTAAAAAAATAAAAATCTCCAGTACCATCAGAGAATGTTTGGACAACTATAAACATACAGCAAAAATTACGTCCTATTTGAAAAAACCAAATTCCTTAGCGAAGTTTTAAGGAACCTAGATTACGACAATAGTGTTGAAGCCATAGTATTCAATACAGATAATCTAATGTAGAAACTAATATACAGGGTGTCCCAAAAATGTTTCGCAATCTGAAAGTGGCGGGTTCCTCAGGCCATTTGAAGCAACTTCTTCCTTCATAAAATTTTTTTCCGAGGCATCGTTAACGAGTTATTAACGAAAAACAGTGACCAATGAGAGGCGAGCTCGGCTGGCGCGAGGCGACCGAACCAACGGCGCTAGCGGTCGAGGCGGTCGAATCCCAGCTCAGCTGACGCGAGGCGGCCGAGCCGATGAGCGGAACTGGGTTTCGTGCGCTAGTTGGCTGGGCCGCCTTGCGTCAGCCGTACTCGATTCTTATTGGTCACTATTTTTCGTTAATAACTCGTTAACGGTGCCTCGGAGAACATTTTTGTAAAGGAAGAAGTTGCTTCAAATGATCCGAGGAACCCGCCATTTCCGGATTGCGACACATTGTAATACAATTATAATCCGACAAGTGGTCGTTAATTGCTATTAAGTAGATGCGACATTAAATAAATAAAAAAAAATTCGCTGAAATAACGAGGTTCGAAAATGAAAAAATCCGTTTCCCATTGCGAATTGTACGATATCGATTAACCGACTTGAGTCTGTCTTTGCCCAAGGTATACCAAGGTATAATAATGTTTAACGTGTTGGCGTTTGACGAATGATGTTTGTCGTTTTACCTTGAGATCGCCAGGCTGATCGTAGAACGTGGACGGCGCGAGGGCTGCTTTCAGTCTTCTATTCCTGTAGAAGATGAACATGATGGCTGCCAGCAGTATCACTATCACCGTTGTTAGGTTCCCAATCACCAGGCCGACGAACTGCTTTGATTCGGGCTCCTTGCTCTTCTCTGGAACTAACAGGGGTAAGCTACAGTAATTAACAGCAATACTTGTTCATTCTGGTGAATTCACTTTAGTATAATTTCGTAGCACTCTCTAACAGAGGTACCAATATTTTATGCATTATATACACAAAGGAATGTAATATTTGAAGGAAATTATCATAAAACATGAGATATTTTAGAAAAACATAAAATATTGCTTTTTACTGTTAATGAACCGATACAGGACCACCTTTAATCCTTTGTACTCGAGTGGTGACTCTGAGGCACCACTCAAATTTGTTACATCATCTTTTAAGATAATTTTGATATTAACAAAGTTCAGATTTAAAAAATTATTAAGAGTGTAACTGTTGTTCGAGTCCCAAGAATCAATTTCATATGCATAAAATGCATTTTGTCTTATAAAATAAAAATACTATAAGTTGGAAAAATGATTTTATATTTACGGTTAAAATAGCTTCGAGTGCAAAGGGTTACCATAGTTTAAGCACGATACACAAATTCTATCCAGATTTATCCATCCAATCTATGTTTTCATGTCTCCGTTAAAAGTTTTCATTCTTTCTGTATTGTAAGTATTATTGAACATTGTGGAGAAACTAAATCTATAGAACCTATCATGACAAGTCTGATGTAAATATATAGATGCAATAAATTTGTCTTCATAACATTAAACTCAATAAGCACGAGAATTGAAGAACTTGTATTCCTTTGTAAGAATGAAAAGACTGAATATAAATATTTACACATTTCCTCATTTTTATTATAACATCATGTTTACTTAAAGATCTATTCAATCATTTTCTATGATCGAATCTTTATAATTTCAATAATTTTAAACTGAAAAATGTGAAATCGGTCACTTTGACTGGCCAGTAGATTTAATGTTAATAACCTAGTGCCTTCACAATTTATTTCGTGAGAATATTTGGTAAATTAATAATAATAAAATTTGTAAATTGGTAAATTAATTAATAATAAAAAAAATCAAAGAGAAAGTGGAAAACAATAAATAGTTCGTCATTTCTCAATTCCTCTTTAACACATCGACAGCCGCGCCGAAAACATCTCAAAATTTCATAGAATTAAAGTATCTTAATCAATTAAATTAAACTTGCAAAGCAAAGCTATATGACATCGATCACTATTTCAACGTTCTTACGAATCTTGCGACTCTTGCGAATCTTAATAAAATTAAGAAATCTTTATGAATTATCATAGAAATTAAATTTTTTAATAATTTCATCACCCGCATACGGGTGACGCGGCAGTCAAAGTAATAGAAAGAAAAATTATAGAAAAAAGATAAATTACTAAAAATAATTTACACTAGTTCTTGCATAAAAATCGAAATCACAAATTCAGTAATCAAACCCACAAGCCGACTAACAACGAAACGGTCGTTGCCTGAACGAAAGAGAGCTTTCTAGCAGTTTTTCCATATTGTTTAGGAGGTTCCCGAATTCCACACGGTAACGCTGCTCAATAGCATCCAATTAGTAGAGGTGACGAAGAGTGAAACGACAGTTTCGTGGTTCAATTCGGACGTGCGTTTGAGGCACCATGAACAATCGTACGTGATCCGAGACATGCACGTATACACGTCTCCAGTGTCTACCATCCAGGCCACCGGATACACCAATGTACATGACCTATCACGGTGGATATTATCGTGAAGGCAGGCCTCGCATAATGCACGATGGGGCGATAATGATGATTGCGTTCATCATGCTGGTCATAATTGGATCACCGTCGATCACCTTTATCGACCAGTTGCTCTTATTCGGCGATCGACTTGATCATTGTAATTTCGCATCCGCGCGTTCCTGTCGAACCTCCGAAAAAAAAGAAATAAAAAAGTGTGTTGTAACGAATTAAAAATACGAGTGCCGCCCGGTTTCCAGCAGTCAGAGTATCAATTTATTTTGTTTGCCCAAAAATATTGCGAGCACGATCAATTAATATGCACTGTTGATTATTTGTGTAAAGTAAAAACTGTCTGCGCGAATCGCAAGAAATAGCAAATAAATAAAAAGATCATTCTTTTTTGAAATCATTTTAATAGATATAAAAATAACATATTGGCACTCTAAAATTCATTCAACATCATTCTACTATCCAAAATCTAAAAACTATTCGATGGTGCCATAAATCCATAAAATTTGCGGTCCAGTTATAAAACGCGCGCGCGCGCGTAATACATTCTGCATTTTTATTTCCCTTATATATATATATAATAACATAAGTGTATATAAGTATATACATTATTATTATATTATTATAATATTATTATATATATACACTTATTTGACGTTTATACGACGATTATGTTTACGCTTACGATTACGACCACGATTACGTTTTACGATACGAAATTATAATATAACGAACACGGCTTAAGATTACAATTTATGACATCAGCGTGCGATTACGGGAATTATTGTATGCAGGCTTTACTCTCTTTTTGTATTGTATTTTGTATGCATTACTGTTTAGTCGTAAATAGAATAGTTTCCAAAAGTTACTATCTTTGCATTTATGTTTTTCAGTTTTTCATTAATACAACACGGATTTTCTAGTCACATCATTGATAAATAATAGAATAAAGTGGAAGACTATTTTTAAGTTTACAAATAATTTTAAGTTTAAAATATTTTTAATTTCTAGTCACATCATTGATAAATAATGAAACAAAGTGGAAGACTATTTTTAAGATTAAAAATAATTTTAAGTTTAAAATATTTTTAATTTCTAGTCACATCATTGATAAATAATGAAACAAAGTGGAAGACTATTTTTAAGATTAAAAATAATTTTAAGTTTAAAATATTTTTAATTTCTAGTCACATCATTGATAAATAATGAAATAAAGTGGAAGACTATTTTTAAGTTTATCGCCACATGTACCGTGGCACGAGAATGATTTGACGTTTCTTGATCTTGATCTAAAGAAACACGTAAACCGTTCCTTTTCTTACTGTCTACTTGAGTAAAACGAATTTAATACCTTGCCATCGTTCGTTTGCAGCCTTATAGCATTTTGTTAAGCTCACATTTAGATTGTGCGTTTAAATAACTCTTACTTAAATAATTCTAATTTTCGGTATTCAAATGTTCGCTTCATGATATGAAAACTGCACAGTACAATTTTAGTGACTCTTTAGTGGCATTTTTACTTTTATAATAATAAATGTCACTTCACTTTTTCGTATTACATAGATATATTTAGATATATTTTTATATTTATTATATAAAATATTTATTTATTTATTATATAGATATATTTTTTTTCTTTATATAGATATATTTCGTACACAGTACAATTTTAGTGACTCTTTAGTGGTATTTTTACTTTTACAATAATAAATGTCACTTCCCTTTTTCGTATTACATAGATATATTTAGATATATTTTTATATTTATTATATAAAATATTTATTTATTATATAGATATATTTTTTTTCTTTATATAGATATATTTCGTACACAGTACAATTTTAGTGACTCTTTAGTGGTATTTTTACTTTTATAATAACAAATGTCACTTCCCTTTTTCGTATTACATAGATACATTTAGATATATTTTTATATTTATTATATAAAATATTTATTTATTTATTATATAGATATATCTATATAGATATATAGATATATTTTTCTTTATATAGATATATTTCGTACACAGTACAATTTTAATAATAAATAATAAACGTCACTTCACCACAGAAATCAAATTTGATTTTTATTCTCGCGCGCGAACACTTTTATTACACGTTCATTTAACAGTTCGGATAAGGGAAACTTAACTGTAGTTACTTTCGCGTTCGAAGAAGCGTCGTTCTATCGGTGTTCCTGCTGTTTCCTTTCCCGAAAGTTTCCTGCAATTTCGAGCTGTTTCGCGCTTCACTTGAGATCGCTATGGACCGGTCTCATTTCGTTTCTGTTCGAACGCGTGTCGTAACGCTTCACGCGAACATACACTTCGGCCAACGCGAGTCGGCTAGAGCAGAGACAACCAGACGTTACACTCGGCAACGCTCTTCTTGCTCGATTTCTGCTTCGTCTTTCTTGCGAGCCGAAGACTTTTGTCCACACAACGGAATATCGTTGCATGTAACGAGGTCTAAAGTAGCGAAGTTACATCTTTCTACTTGTTATTTACTGCCTCTTTCTAAATGTTTAAATTGCTTCGATGTTCGAACATCGATTTATAAATGAGCCGTTTACTTTGAAAGTGTAATTAATTATAAGAAACTTAAGTTTGACATGAATGTCTTTCCTCTTTTAGCCATTTTAAGAAGTTGCACACAGAAAGACATTCTATAATTCTTTAAATATCTTCAGATCTTTATATTTAACCTAGCCATTTTGGTCAAAAATGCATGAATGCAATAGTATTCCATCAATAAATATCTCAATAAATTTGGTTCACACACACACATAACAGCATTTTAATTTCTAACCCTTATGACAGTACCTAAAACTTTCTACGACATTCAATATAATTTTAGTTGTAATACTTTATAGTTTCGCGATGCATTTTTATGGCAAAATATAATGCCAAGTAAATAAAAGTAGTAATCTAGCAAAAACATAAAATATTGCTTTTTACTCTTAATGAACCGATACAGGACCACCTTTAACCCTTTGCACTCGAGTGGCGACTCTGAGGCACCACTAAAATTTGTTACATCACCTTTTAAGATAATTTTGATATTAACAAAGTTTAGATTTAAAAAATTATTAAGAGTGTAACTGTTGCGCGAGTCCCAAGAATCAATTTCATATGCATAAAATGCATTTTGTCGTATCAAATGAAAATACTATAAGTTAGAAAAATGATTTTATATTTACGGTCAAAATAGCTTCGAGGCAAAATATAATGCCAAATAAATAAAAGTAGTAATCTAGCAATTATGAATCACTATCGACTTTTTCGTAGACCTTCTTGTGATTGGCTTAAGTGATTATGTGACTACTAGACTGTGGGTTCTACGCATTTATGACAAAAATGCGTAAGCAGAACATATAAATCTAAAGATTATAAGATTTTATGAATGCTGTGTTACATTATTTTCACACTATCGGACCTATTAAGAGAGAAAACAAACTTTCATTTTACTTTAGTAACCAATCGAGGTAGAAAATGTTTATTTTATAATTAAAAAAATTTTTAATTTTAAAAATTCGCAGTCCAGCGATTACACATTTTCTAGCGGTAGCATAGTTTGCATAATATGAGCCGTTTATTTTGAAAGTGGCATAAGTCACTTTGTTTTTAAGTCGATATATTTAAGGGTTCGCGTTTTAAAACGTTTCAAAATATGGATGCTAACTTTCGAGAAGATTTACTTGTATTCGTTATCTCAGGATACTGATATTTTTCTCAGTACAAATAATTTCGTATAAACATTAAAAAGTCACCACTTTTCATTACGGTAAAGTGACTTATGCCACTTTCAAAATAAACGGCTCATTTCTTTTAAGTTCTTTTGCACAAGGCGTTTCATGAGATAAAATTAAAAACCCAAATATCGTTTTTTAAATTGACAATTTCTTTCGTGCATTTTCTTTCAATCTTAATTGAACTAAGAATCATTAATCTTCGTATGTTTCTTTGCGAGAAAGTTCGCCGGTTTTCTGTTTTTCGATACTGCGCAACCTTTCATTTCTCTCTATTTGTGTTAAAAAAAATCTTATTCTTTAAATTATGGAATTATAAATGAAACGCAATTCATTGATTCGAGGCGTAAAGCATAATTTGACGATGCATGAGTCCAGTATCTTACGTATAACTATATCTGAGGACTATATGACTATTTATTAATAAAATGATCGAAAATTGAAGAAAATGATCGGAACCAAAGGTAGATCACTTCTCAATGTCTCTCGAACACCGTAAATACATCTTTGACAATGCGTTGTTTTGATTCAATTAACACTGGAGCTACCAATCCAGTCGAAGTGGTTTCTGATATTTTCTTTCACAATTCCTGATATTATATGAGCCGTTTATTTTGAAAGTGGCATAAGTCACTTTGTTTTTAAGTCGATACATTTAAGGGTTCGCGCTTTTAAAACGTTTAAAAATATGGATGCTAACTTTCGAGAAGATTTACTTGTATTCGTTATCTCAGGATACCGATATTTTTCTCGGTATAAATAATTTCGTATAAAAATTAAAAAATCAGCACTTTTCATTACGGTAAAGTGACTTATGCCACTTTCAAAATAAACGGCTCGAATCCGAACAAAATTATCATCAAATATTTTGCTGCTTTGAGCACGCTGTATGTAAAATCCTTTCTATTTGTCGCGTTCTCTTCTTTCTCTTTGAAAGGAGAATGATAATTGCAACGGTATGCAGTCGGTATTTCATATATCTCCTCGCGGCGCACTTGCGCAGCAATGAAAAGAAAAGGACAGAAAATAACATGCTCCTGAATACGACGCACTGTATCTTCACAAAACTTTGAAAAAGGTCAAGTGGCGTGGCCGTTGACACACAATGCGGAAGAATTCAATAAATTCAGTCTATTTGCATTACAGAAAGTAAAACAAGTGGCCGGAAAAACTCGGCCATAAAACCGGTCGATTACACTGAATATCGTTCGAACGACTCGAAAGAAGAAGAAGAAGAAGAAGCAGAGGAAAAGTGCTGGATAACAATTAGACCGTTTATCGGGCAATACGACGACGCGGAAACGTCGGTCAGTAGTGCTTTAGATTTACTTCTCTTAACACTTCCGTTCAAAGTGAAGTGCTCTCCGGAGGACAGAGCCCGAAGAAAGGAAATTAATTAGATTTTGCTTTCTTCTCGGCGGAGCTGAAAGAAAAGAACGACACCGGCACATTATCGATTTATAGGAACGGCCTTCCCGGTTCCGTTTGATCGTGAAACCGAGAATTTTCGAGGACCGCCGGAAACCATTATACAGTGCCACGGGAATAAGCTATAAAAATGATACGGACCAAATACTAAAAAGCATAAAGACTTTTCCGGTTCGATAGAAATCTTTTATTTTAAGGACACTTCTATGATAAAACGAGTAATATTGGCGAGTTGAGAGCTTTTGCGTAAATACAGTCAGCCCCATAAGTATTCGTATCTTCGCTTTTCCTGAACAAAATTTGTCAAAATAAAGTGACGCGTTTAAGATTTTGCAATAAATTTTTTACTGTAGATCAGGGGTGTCAAACTCGCGGTCCGAGATGAACATTTTTGCGGCCCAGTCAATATATCCGACGCAAAGTAAAAATAAAATAGAAATAGCCTCGGCCAATAAAATTTCTCTCGAAATAGGAAAGATGGTATCAGAGAAGAGACGTCAAGTATCAGGACGTAAACAATAATTTAACTTTATATATGTTTATTACAATGTACTAGTCAAAATAAAAATATTTCTTTCTATGAACATTGATTTTTTTTTGCGACCCACCTAAAGTTAAGCATTGTTTATTTGGCCCAAGTTAGCTTTTGCGTTTGACACCCCTGCTGTAGATGGTGACATATATAAGGTTCACTTGTACCAAAATTTCAAGAAATACATGATTGACATCGATCGAAGATTTTTTTTTATTTTTTACTTTTTTTTTTAGTTGATTACTATTCCTATCCTGAATTTTTGTTATAACTTCTTAACCCGAGAAAGATAACCTACGTCGCAGAGGCGCCTGCGAAGACTGTTGATTTTTGTTAATTTTTCATAGAGATCTAGTGATTTAAGTTTAAAATTACTTAAAATATAAAAAAATATAATATAAATGCATTTTATTTTTACAATAATGCCAAACCTTTAAAATGACTAGATCAACTTAAATAAATATCCATTGTTAGTATAAAATTGACGCCTTAGAAAAGCATGCGCCTCTGAAGCGTATGGTTATCTTTTACGTACGTTGTCATATGGTTATCTTTCTAGGGTTAATAAAGCTCTATGTGACCTATGCTTACATAACATTTTTAACTTACTTCGTGCCATAGAATACACTAACAAAGTTTGAACATTAAAACCTGGGACACCCCGTATATTTTTAAACTCCTGTTGTACAAGTCATACATGAATCTATCAATCATGCATACAGAGTTCGTTGTATCTGTACTCGCGCCAAACGCGTGTTTAAACACAGACGGGGAAAAAACGAGCGAAAAGGTCGCGGCAATTTTCGATGCAGAGAGTATAAACAGAAATTCTGTGAAGTGTAATTAAAGCATTCGATATTAATCGCTCGGATCCGTTCAGTTCAAAAGCGGCCGAGCAATAATGGGGAAACCGGGAATCAAATGTTTTTTCAAAATCTCGTTATACGCTCCCTTTCATCGCCGTTGTTCCCAATCAACATTGTAGGTACAAGTGAAACAACGCGAAAAAAAAACGGAGAAAGAGCGACGGGGAAACAAGGAGAAAAACGACGGAAAAAAGGGACTGTTCGTGATCGGCATTCAATTTTCGTGCGGCATCAAGGCACAAAAAAAGGTCGACCGGGAAAATAGGGTCGCAGGATCGTGAACAGGGAGGGGGGAGAGGATAAAGAAGAGTGGAAATTGTGCGGAAAATTACGAAAGGGAACCTTTCGATGTAACAATACCAGAAACCAGGCGGGACAGACTTACGAGCATTATCGTTGTTTTCCTCCTTATTAAAAGTGGCCTTCACTTCGTCTCTTTGCAGTGGACCCTCGTTATTCTGATAGGGGCTGCCAGTTGCCAATACAATGCCGCTCTTGTTCCTCGGATCCTCGTCCTCGGTGTTGTTCCATTCGGAGATTACTGCGCATCACGGATAAAGACTAATGAAATTTCTGGTCGGCAAAAGAAACCGGTCGCGCCGCGTCGCTGCCGGCTGAATCTTTCAAACGCGCCATATCGCATTAATGAGACGACAAATTAATACAGCCGTCGTATCGTTTGCGCCGTTCCATCAATGCTAACTTTGTGTACGGCTCCTTTAGCTTCGCACGGACCGAGCCTTGGTCGCTTTTTAAATCGCTGGCGCGCCCGCTCTCTGAAGATTCTTTAACGCGCTCGCTGGCCAGGGCGATGACTGTTCCATAAAACCAGCGTAATTTGTCCGATGAAAAAACTCGAGGGCTAAGATTCAGCACGGCGATTATATCAAATTGCTGCGAGCAATTTTGATAGAATTTAAAGTTTTAATATCTGAGACGGTCGTTCCTTTTTATAATGGTTGCGGTCAGAAAATAAAGCTTTCATTTTTTTTATGCATTTTCCAACAAAATGAAAGCTCTATCTTCCGACTGGAATTATGAAGGAATCACCGTATTCAGATATTCAAACTTTGTATTATCTGATTATACGATCTAAAATGAAACAACGACATTCCACCTTTTTGAACAGATTTCAATAAAATTGGGAGATTGTTGTTTCTTCTCAGATCGTAAGAAAATAAATTCAATCGTAGCTGTATGAATAATAACTTGAATTAAATCCTACAGCAAAGACATGATAGAATTTGCACATTTTTTGTAAACATCTAAGTAACTGATTACAGATGAAGGACTGCTGAATTAAAATTGATTTTTACATTCACAGAAATAATGATGGCTGTATAAAATGAAATAATAAAATAATGATCGATGTATTAAACTGATGACGATCAAATGAAATTAATGAGACCACTGAAATAAAAATCGACGTTTCTACAGTCGCGAGTTTTAATGAATAGTATAACAGATAGCAGTATTGGAATAATTCGCGTGACTGAAAAATTCGATCTAAAATTCTTGTTTATTACAAATAAAAACAATTCACAAATGGCACAGCTGTCTCGTTGGAAATATATTGGACTCTCGAAACGGTTATATTCGTAACTCTATCGATAAACGTCTTAACGTTTTAGCGGCTCGATACATTATTCAAACATGTTTTCCTTATTGCATTTTCGATTCGGAATCCGTCTATTTATCGACGCGTCGGAATATACGATCCGCGAATTATACTCGTGAAATAGAGACCCGGCAAGCTTGCAGCCGCAATCTACAAATTCCGGGCAATGTAAATATAAATCGCGCGCGGAAGCTGAAAAACCCCGGGCCGGACAATTAAAAGACGGTTAAGGTTCGTGCGGGCTTCATCGTAAGCTCAAAGAACCGTTTCATCTCTCTAATTAAAAGTAAATCGGGCCCGGGAAGTTGAAAAACCGCGATTAAAAGCTATCGCCTTCGCTGCTAGTGTCAATAATACCGGACAGAAAAATAATAGGAGCGCCGCGGAAGGAGAGAAAAGATGGAAAATGCATTTCACCGCGTGCCATCCGAAAGAATTCGCGGAACGAGCAATTTCGCGATGCAAAATACTCGTATTTCAAACTTTCACCTCATTGCGATAAATTTGCCAGCGTAGCCGGAGCCGCGCCGTGAAGCCTCGCGCCGAGTACATCGGGGGCGAACATTTAATTTACGGTCAGTTCAATGAGCGTCGAGCTTGAAAAGAGCACAGCACACCGGTTCGAGAATTGTTAATTGCGCCTCGGCTCGCCTGTTAAGTGTAGACATTAATTACGGCACGCGAAATTGCTGTCGACAATTTTCTTCTCGCGGCGAGGAGCCCGGACCGATATATTTTCCTATCGATGACGCGGCCCGTTCGCACCGTAAATACGAGCTAAGCCGGCGACGAAAAGCCTGCGGCGCGCAAATGACCCGGATCGAACGATTTAGTGACATTTTGACGGAACTTTCTAGCCACCGAAAGACACCCGATCGGAACTTCCACCCGAAACCTATTTTCCCGGCGCTGCTTTCACATTTTCCGTGATTACTGGACTGCGGATTTTTATGGAAAATGTAAATTCCATAGACGTTTCTTTAACTTTTTAATTATTTTATCGTGTTCGAAATAATAGAATATAGTACTTTGAAATTCTTTAAACGTTATTCTTTTAATGTCGATTCATAGTTGGTATAAAATTGTTCGATTCATGTAAAAAGTACTTGGCTGAAAC